CAGGCCAATGTTATTTAAGGTGAGGCCTCAGCTGGAGCATGGTGTCCAAGGGGCACTTCATTTCAAGCAAGCCACAAACAACATCTCTGAAGTGTGAGCTGAGAGGTCAATGATGAGAATGAAACTAGGTTGGTTGAGAGTAGAAGTGTGTGACAATAACCTTTAAACCCACCAAAAGTTATTAGTGAAGACCCATGGAATGGTTTCCACATATTTATGGGGAATGAGATACAACCTTGCAGGCAGCAGGTTTAGGTCATTTACTAAGTACGTCCTCTAGGAAGGATCTAAAATTCTGGTCATCAGGGGTCTAAGAGATTGGAGTGAATTAATCTTTCCAAAGGTGTTTTTATGAAATGAAGCTATTGGTTCACCAGTATCCTTAAATAGATGAGTTAGTACATGGCCACAGCCAGGAGCACCGGCAGAGGTGGTTAGTGAAGGTTAGCAGCAGTTTGAGCAAGCATTACCTACAGCCATCTGTGCTTTCATGTCATTTTCCTTCTGACTTTCAGGGAATCTGTTGACTTCAGCAGAAAGTCAGAGCAGTCAGAGGGCTGGGATGAAAAAAATGCCCTCCTCTCCCCGCCTGCCACCAGATGTCTCAGAATAAAGTCCATAAGGAAAGTACCATTCCACAACATTAGTTCCTGATGTTGGCACTCAGAAGAAGGTGTTGAGGTGGGTCTCCATGCCAGCAGAACAAGCAGGAGGTGCTGACACTGGTGGGGGGGTAGGGAATTTAGAAGGGGGAATAAAAATGCTGGGAGGAAAATGAAGTGGACAATGGATTGCCCTCCCACAGCTCTGCTGCTGCTCCAGTAAAACACTTTTTCCCAAGGCTTTTTTCTCAGTGACTTCTTTCTTTCTAAAGCACTTCATTTAGAAAGTAATTCATCCAGCTGCATAAATAATTTCCCACTTGTAAAACCCAAAAATCGATGGAATTGTTTAAAACCATCTTGTTGCTTACAGGTAGTTATGTGCTGAAGCAGTTGTTAGATTAATGAGAGGACTAATAATAATGAAGAAGAATGCACACGTTGTAGGAAGTCCTTGAAAGAAAACTGTAGGCTGAAAACATTGCTCAGGTGCCAATGTGAGTTCCAGCCAGTAGGCCCTGTAAACTGGGAGAAATGCAGAATTTGTTCAATGGTTTAGATGCTCTTACAAACAGAAAGTAGTGGATTTCAAGGCAACTATCAGGATGTTACTGAAAAAATATACCTTTATTTTTTAAATGACCCATTTTGTAACTTCAGTTCTATCTGAAGGATTACCAGAGAGGTATGTACATTTTGCTCTGCTTTTAATACATTTTTCATTTTAATGACCCAGTGCACATTGTTGCTACCTGTCTGGCTAAGAACTAACCAACTACCATGTTGAGGAAATCATACCTTCAAATGTTATGCAAAATTATTTTTAAAAAACACCAACAGGCATGTTTACAGTGAAGAGAATGAAGAATAACATTTTCTTGAAGAATTTACTCAAACTAGGTTTGATACTATATGTCAAGTTAAGATGAAAGTTTCATGTTAGTGTAAATTGATGAGATTTAGTGTATATTTGCTATGTTGTATATGCTAAATGCAATGCTGGTGGGAAAACACAGAAAAAATATTAAAAAGCTCATTCTTTTAGTGTCTTTCTACCTCAACTTAGGAAAAAAAATTGGAAGCTCCTTTTTCCACCCCCATAGAAAGAAAATACTTGAAGTGGTGGGGATTTTCTTGTGAATGGCCAACCACAGCACCGGAATCAAAGTTCTTATATTTAGGTGTGTCCAATATATCCAAAATATTTTGCTTAGAAAATGCAGGCTATTTTCAATTCACTTAATGTAAAAAAAAGTCAATAATGAAACATCTGATTTGTTGTTCAAATTTTCACTGAGTCATTGAGGGCAGGGAGGGAGATGAGGCAACTTCGAACATGGTAGATAGAGTAGACTACTACCAAGAAACCTCTAATGTCTAGACTGAGTTGAAAAAATTGGAAAAGATTTTAAAAAAACCCCAAAATAATCCAAATAAACAACATGACTTGGAACAAAATAAAAAAGTCAGAATGAAACTAAATTGAACCCCAGGCTATGTTGGAGATGTTTTGATGCAGTTTGGTAGACCTGATAGGAGAGCCAATGCTCCTGCTCCAACTGCCTCAAATGGGTTCTTCTCCAAGGAGAAGGAAAGGAAATAGTTGGTCACTCCTTGTTCTAGCAGGCAGCTCCTCTACCCCTCACTAACATATCTTAGGTGTTTTCTTCCCCATAAGGATTAGTTGTCACATCCTTGCCTTGGGCCTGACTTCAGTTCCCTTGGCCCTGTGTAAATGTAGCTGTGTGTCCCCAAACAAAAATACCCCAATACTCCTGTGATTCTGAGATCTGTCTTTAAATTCTTTGCTGGCTTTGAGAGAATTACATTTTCCAGCAAAATCCTTGGCCTGTGATTTTCAACCAGTTCAGTCAAGCAGCAGAGAGACCTCGGTCTCATCAGGAACTGTGCTCTTCGACTCAGTGAGCAGAGGGAAATCACACAGGGCAGGGCTGCTTAGCAAAGACAGAAATCTGTCACCCTGACAGAAAGAACTGAAAAATCAGATTTGGCATTCAGGAGACCAAAAGGGCAGGGTTGAGCTGAATTGCATTGCATAGGTTGCACTTAGACCCAGCAGGATCTGTGCAGCAACTGATGCCTGTCTGTATTCAACAAGACCTTGAAATACACCTCCAACCGAAGTAGGTTGTTATAATCTTCTGGGGCTTATACTAGCTTTCCACTTATGGAAACCAAGGTTTGAACTCCAGGGAATGAGATGAGCTGAGCACAATTGCATATCTAGTCACAGGTATAAGATTCAGGGCAGAAGAAACAGAAAAGGGGACTGGAGGCAAAGTGAGAATCTGAATTTCAGGGCAAAAGGGGACGTACAGTGTGTGAACTGAAGAAGTAACTTCAAGACTCGTAGAGTTTTCAGAGACTCAATTTTTGTGGTTCAGCAAGCAAGGGAATGTGAGAGACTACATATGACATATATTTCATGGCAGGTGACTTTGGCCACAAAGCTCCAGCATGACCAAGGCCGAAGAGGCCAGATGCGGAGAGGTATAAACAACCATCATGTGAGATCCTCCAGTGCATCATGAGGAAAGGAGGGGAGCTGACTAATCTTACTCTGACACTCCTTAGTGCAAAGCCCTTTATAACATGACATTCCTCAGCAGTCTCTCACACTCAGGGAACAAAGGGAAGGAGACCAGACATCCTTGGGCAACTGTTGCTCATCATTAGCTTCAGAAAGATGCCTTCCAAAAACCAAAATGCTCTAAGTCATCTTGTTTTCTTCCTTTTGAGGTTACACTCTTACCATCAAGGCAGTTCATCAACTCACTGCTGATAAACTTATTATCAACAAAAATAGTTCCTTTTTCTGCATCTGGAAGAAGTGCAGCAGTTTCAGTTCCTCAAATGAGGTGAGCTGCTGTGGCAATTCTTTGGGCCTGGCTTAGTGGCACCATCTCAACTTCAGGGGAGTATTTCATTAATACTTAGTTAAATAAGTAGATAACTAGATGAGTAGATTCATTTTTTTTGCACCAATAGTACTCCTATATCTTTGTAAATAGATGGATTTTGCAAAAGCTAAAGCTCAGATGTCAGTGTGCTTTTTTTTGTATGAAAATCTTTAAAACACAAAAAAAATGTAAATACATAAAAAACCTATTACAAATACAAATTCCTTTTTTTTTTTTTTGTGCAATACGATTTCTTGTCCATGTTTACATTTACGAAGTAGATGATCTGAAGATAATTTGTTGCAATCAAGTAATCAAACATGGTAGCTGCAAATTCAAAAGAGCAAGCTGAAAGCAGAGTGAAGAACACCATTATTTTGGATGGTGACTAAGCTTCAATTTTTTTCTCTCTTCTCCAGTTCTACTTTTTCACATATCCCGCTATTCCACAACAACAGGGAGAAAAAAAAGAGTGAAAGTGTTGAGTTCAAAGGAGATACAACATCCACTTGAAGGGTTGTAATGCTTTGGCTGGTGTTCAAGGGGATGCTGGTATCTAGTAAACCAAGAAGGATGAAGTAAACACACTGTGTGTTAATAAAAGGTGTAATGGAGAGCAGAGAAATCCTGGTGCTCCATCAGGTTGGCGTGGTGGCCCTGGAAATAAGCACCCCACTGTGTCAGACATGGCCTACACATCCGTGCTGCCTGTTCCACAGTGGCTCTGCCGTGTCCCAGCTCCTGGGAGTTTGTCTTAACGTGCCCGTGGGACCACCCGGAGCCACTGAAGAGGAACAAGGCGCCGTTTCACCCTCAATTGAACATCCAAAGGGTGTCAAAAGCCCAGTACTGCGCTCTCGGAGCCCTTGCGGAGGAGTGGGGCCAGAGGGCTGTCCCGGCACCCGGGCCTTGCCCCTGGTCCCCTCCTGCTCGGCTCGGGGCAGGGGGATGCGGGAGCGGCGATGGTCCCTCCGGGGCGCCCCCCAGCACCCAGCCGGGCCAGTCGGGGCCGCAGACCCCGCGCTCCGTGCCCGCACCGAGGCGAGCGGGGCCGGCCCGGGCCCGGGGAGGCGGCGTGTCCCGTCCCGCGGCGCACCGAGGGGCTTTCTCCCCTCGCCGCGGGGCGCAGCCTCGCCCGCCGGCCCCGCCGCGACGCCGGCAGCAGGAGCGGCCCTAAAGCGGCTTACGCCCAAGGCGATTTGCCCGTGATCCGCCGGGCTTGCCGGGCGGGAGGGGGCCGGGCGTGCGGGCGGCCGGGACAGCGCGGCGGGCGGGGGGCGGCGATGATGTGAGCGGCGCGGCAGCTGCAGGCCGGCTCCCTCGGGAGCCGGGGCTGAGCCCGGTGGCCGTGGGAGGGAAAGGAGCCGGGCGGGGAGGGAGGAGGGGGCCTGGACATAGCCGGGGGAGAAAAGGGAGGAGCGGGGCCGGGGTAGGGGGAGGACGAGCGGCGCCGGGGAAGCGCTGCCAGCCGGAGCAGCGGCAGCGGCGGGAGGGAGGCGCAGCCCGGCGGACCCAGCTCCGCTGGCCGTCGGCGCTCTCCCCGCGGAGGTTGGGGACCTGAGGCGAGGTGATGGAGGAGCATGGGTACCCTTCCTATAGCGCCCGCAGCCCCGCCTGGGAGGAGCTGGTAGGTACATGCGTGCCTTGCCTTTGCACAGGCGTTTCCTACCCTTTTTCCTGCCTGTATTGTTCAGCCGGGGGGTCGGGCTATCATCCTTATCTATGCCCTCCAGCCCCCCCTTCCCGTCTTCCGATCCCGCTCCACGCCAGAGCCCTGCTGCCGGCGCTCGTCCCTTCCCCGCGGGGAGCGGGGGGGTGGGAGCCTTTCGCCCCCGCCGTGTCTGGCCATTTGCTGACGAGCTCGTCCCTCTGGGAGACGGGGAGTTCATTGCCCTTTCTGAGTTTCACTGCCCGGGTGGAAAGCCTGGGATTAGCACCGAGAGCCTTGCCTTCAACTTTGCCGAGGGGGGTGGTTTGGATGTTGACACCGTTAAACTCCTCTTAGCACAGCGAAAGCAGCGTTGGGAGGCAGCTTTCAGGAAGAGACGCACACTTTCCCCCCCTTCTTCTACTGGAGCTGGGCTGGGAATTGTTCCCATCGCAGCGGCAAAGCGGGACGGGGCTGGGGGTGCCCTGCCGTCACTCCGCCGTGTGGGGAAAAGTGCGTGCCTTTGGGGAGCTAGGAAGGGAGGGGAGCGCTCAAACTGGCCAGGAGGAAAGCTGCGGTGAGGTGCCTTTGCGGTTTGTTTAAGGAACTGGAAGACCCTCCTTCCAACCAAAGGAAATCATGTCACCGGCATCCTCAGCAGGCGATAAAATCAGATTTCCCTTTTCAGGGCAGTCTGGTCCCGCTCCTGGGCTTTTCTCCATTGTGCAAACACACACACACATCAGGCAGCGAGGGCTAAAAATAGGCTTTGGGTAGCTGCTTGGGAGATTTCAGGCTATCTAAGAGGTCAAGGCTAGGCTGCCTCTGGCCCTGAACTTGGTGAGGCAACATGAAGCATGGACCTGTGCCATTGCCAAGCTCCCCTTTAGATGGCTGTACCATGTTTTGCTAACTCGTTTTGTTGGTTCAGGTTTTACTTGTAAACCCAGTTTTAAAGAGAAAATGGGGGAGACCCATTCTCTCTTGGTGTGTGCACCCTCAGGAAAGCAGCAGCAGAGCCCTGGAGATACCCACAATGAACTAAGTTCACTCCCTTCCTTGTTAGGATTTGCAGCTCTCACAAATATATTTTTACTGTCCTAATATTTGTTGTTAAGTTGAACATCCCCCTTCGCTGCCCTCTGCAGTCCTCAAGCCCCGAAACTGTTGCCGGAGATGCAGCTGTGATAGGGAAAACAGCTGTATGTGTGTTCCGGTAACATGGAGCTGACATTGAAAGGATCAGGCAAGGGAAACCCAAGATTTTTGCCTGGAGAGATGAAGACATCGTGGGAGGAAGGCAGCGAAGTCAATTCCTGCGAATGCGTTATACTATTAAACAGTGACATTTAAATTGCTGCCGTCATCCAAAACTCAGCTGAAACTCGGGAGGCAGATGGATTGCAGCCCCTCTCCGCTTGGAAATGCGGAGTCCTGGCTGAAGCATCCAAGCCCGTTTCCTTCTGTGCGCATGGCTTAGATAAACAAGGAGCAGATTTTTTTTTCTCCATTTCCCCCTCCCCCAGTAAGGGCCAGGATTTGGGTCATGTTTATCATTTCATTGCTGCATTTGTTAAAGAGTACATCCATGAATGCAGTTTTAAGGTTAACCACTGCACCGATTTCCTTTACAAGACTCTAATTTCAGCTAATCCACTCAATCCTTTACCTGGTAACCTGCTGGTAAAATACATGGTCTTTGTGGCAAGAGCCACATTGTTCTTTCCATCTGCTCATAAGCAGGCTTTTTATGATAATGGGGGCAAAGGGAGATTCAGGTGAAGACCTGAATGATGAAAGGGAAAACATAGTATACTCTCTCCCCTGCTCTTAAAACATGAAACAAAAAGTAGTAAGATAGGGAAAACTATTTTTTGCAGGTTTTGAATCTGTGCAAGTTAATAACCTATGCAAATTTCTGATGATTGGGAAATGCTCTTCCTATAGCTATTCTGAGAAATAAGTTATGGACTTTAAATGAAGTGAGAAGTCCTTTTGCCAGTCAGGGTTGGACTTGTGTGTGTGTACTACTTCAAATTTCTATAAAGACCTTTTCCTAACTCACACCACACTTTTTAATGGAAAAGCTCTTCCTGAATCCAGTAAAAGTTGTGTAAGACCCCATGATGGAGCTAAGCAAACGTGACTTAAAATGTAAGGTGCACCCTGCATTCTTGCAAGGGAGGTTTGGTGGCTTTGTAGTAAAAATGTGCATAACACATGACTCACAAAGCTCTGGACACAATTTTCATGTTTTATATGAGACCTGAGTCTTGGCTTTACCTTACTTTTGAAATGCATATATAAGTCCTAACACATTCACAAAGCATCTGTTTACTTTTATTACCTGCCGTGGTTTGGACCTTTTATTTTGAAGCATAAAACACAGTTTAGTAGTTTCCTTAATTTTGTAGCCTACAGGTTACAGAATTCCCTTGGCTAACCCCAAACCAGCCACAAGTGATGCAATTACTTTCTTTAACAGTGGTATGGATACATGTTGTTATATTTTGGCTTCCTCTTTGCTAAGTAAGGAAGTCAAGAAAGAATAGTATCACTAATTCGATCTGCAGAGGGAGTTCAGACAGGCAGGTCTGAAATAAACTTGTTCAGAGTGGGAAGCCCAGTCAAAAACCATAGCTATCACTAACCACCAAAATTAGGAAAGATTCAATAAAATCTTTTAACATGATGAATAATGAATTGTTAACCTGACACACTATTGATTCAAATTCCCTCAGAAAAACTTTCTGAGATGAAGAATAGAAAAGCATTACCCTTTCGTTTATAGATGCCAAAGTGACTTGGAAAAAAAGAATGTGAAAATGCTTGTTACAAAGGGAATGAGTTTTAGGGCTGAAATCAAATAGTGCAGTAATCTGTATTATAAACTATAATCTTCAGTGCAGCTAGAGTGCAATGTGTATTTAGATTTTTTTCTATATTGCATATGCATTTTAGTGACACATGTCCTATTGGGACTCAATGTGGTTGAGTAAAAATGTTCTCACAGTGTATATGTGTATATTAAATGTATACAATATCACAGTGTAAATATGTATGTATTGCATAAAGGGCAGTTTATCAGCTGATATTAATTGCCCTAGCACAAATTATGTCAGCAGAGCTGTTTTTTGTTGTTTGAGTATCTTTCTTTAAATGCCAACCTTTATGCTTTTTACTCCCTTACTTAGGAAATTTAAGGTTATTGCTAAGAAGTGTGAAACTGTTTAGTGAAAGACAGAGCACATGCAAATAGTGTATGCATTTTTAATAGCTGCATAGAGTCCCACATTGTTCAAGAGCCCAACTTGCAGAAGTCCAGTGGTACCATTTGTGCCAGAGTATTTGTAGCTGTGGTCACTGGGCTGAAAGGTGCTATCCAATATTTCACATATTGAGTCTGACATGGACCACCTGGGAGAAAGCCAGCTGTGACATGAAGGGATAGAAGTCAAGTTGCAAATCCTTTTTGAGGTGAACTTCATTGCCACCTTAGGCAGCTTTATCTGGGTAAAGGCTGGAACTGGACTATGATTATCTATTAATACCTTCGAAAAGAAGAACAAGTGGAAATAGCGATATCTTTAAAACTGTCTTTGTGCCTCGGCAACGTATATATTTGTAGAAAAAAAATTCTATGCTAACATGAGTAACTTTTGTATTTTCAACAATGCTTAACACTTGGTTTCTCATTTTGGAGAACTCTGTACGCATTAAACAACTGGAGACGTTAGAGTCTGTAACTTCACAGAGTCCACTATGTGCTTCACAGAAACCATGTTCTCATATTCTTGTTGAAGCGTTCTCGTGGGAGATTTCCTATCATTTGCAGACTTAGGTTATTGCTACTAAAATCTTCCCATTAAGGAACCTGAGAGAACATTCCTAGTACTTTTCGTTTCTTTCATAGCACTCTGAAGTTTACCAAGACATGATGAAAGAGACTTGCTTAGAAGTGAAAGGCTAATGCTTTCTTTCCTGGTAACCACACTTCTGTGTTTGGATAGTCAGGAGTGAGGAAGAGCACACTGAGGTAGCCCAGGTGAAGATGCATGGTGCCCTCTGCATGGTGCAGCTACTAGTGCTCATAGTTAAGCTCTGAAAATGAACAGAAGTTGAAGACTTGTATTTATTCTTACAGTAACTACTATTGTTCAGCCAGCACTATGTAATTCAGTTGAATTAAATGTAGCCAGCCTTGCTTGTGTTCTGTCAGCACCAAGTGTGTCTCAAATCACAGTTACTATTATGTGCAACATGTTAGGAAAATATATCTTGTTGTCCCCTTGCAATATTCAAGTGACATTTACCTTCAAAAGAATTAAGGAACTGCAGTGAGACATGTTCTGGCATAATCTGCTATTCCTGAAATTCAGATAGTGAGGAGGAAGAAAGGAGAGTGGAAAGACACAGTGTCCATAAACATTGCTTTTACTATCTTTCTTCCTAGCTGTGCCCTAAACTTACCTACTAAGAGCAATGCATACTTGCACCTGGTCAAGTTTGATCCCACGTTTTGAAAAAATTGAGAACTCCTTCTCAGGTGAAGAGTGAGATAAGACAGAATTAGTTCTTATTTTCACAGTCATTTTGAGATGAGGTATCAATGATAGGATTTAGGCCTTATGAATATTTTGAAAGAATGTGTAGGTAAATTGATCAAAATGCCTTTAAAATAGAACTTCTGAATCCTTAAAATAGATATTTTGAATTTTTAAATGTTACTCTTGTTATTTTTTAAAAGATAACCTCCACAATTGGTCCTGTGTGGAGATGGATAGTAGAATTGTATTTGAAGTACCTGCTGCAGTAACACAGAACTAAGCCACAAGAACTCCAAGGCTTCATGAAAATATTGCTTTCCCCTACACTATTAGAAATAAAAAAGCCAATAAAAGAAATGGGCTGGACTATAAAAACTCTGAAATATTTGAAATTCAGACTGTGGCAAGGTGTCTGCAGTGTAGAATAGGTTGTACAGTTGTTTACTTTTCCTCATTAAATGCTTTGTATTTAGGTACTGCGGCATTATATTAGCATGTTAAGAGATGTTAGTTCCCTTTCTGGAAATATAAATAGAGTTGTGGGAATATAGAAGCTACAAGCATTGATTGCTTTCTTATGCTTAATCCGGCCCATGCAGCTAGGATTTGTGTGTTTTATTTAGTATTGCTGTGATTTAAACACTTATTTTGAACACTGACTACATACAAGCCACAATAATTTCAAAGTCCCACAATTCAGAACATGTGGTGACATTTCGAGATTGTGCGAGATGCCAGATCTGAGATGAAAAAGGAAAACTGACCCTTTCTTTCCCCAGAAGTAAGGGCTGCTCTTTCACAAAGACAAAAATGAACAGAATAACAAGAAAATTAAGCTATTATGAGAAAATCACTGGAAAGCAATAGATGCATTTATTAAAACTGTCCAAGGCTTTGGCGCTGATGGATAGTTACCACGGGGTTGACTGGCTGGAGGAATAGCGTACAGGTAAGGAGCCCATCGCATCAGATGCCGTCCGTCCAAGTCCCGAAGAGACATCCTGCGCTCCCAGGGGAGAGCGGCACAGCCCTCGGCCGGGACGGGGCAAGGGCTTGGCACGGCACCCGCCCGCTTTCGCCCTGCTTGCGCTGGGAACTCGGCATCGCCGCCCTCCGAGTGTCCCCGGGCGGCACAGCGCGCACGGGGGTGCCCGGCGGGGCGGGCGGTGCTCGCTCCGGTGCCGGGCCCACCTCCCGGCCAGCCGGGACAGTCCAGGACACCCGGGCAGGTGCGGGGGCGCCAGGCGCCCTTCCCGCTCCCCGTCGCTTGTTTCTCCGGCCGGACTGGCCCTGGCGCTCACCTGCGGGCGGGCACCCTCCTGCCGGGGGCGGCCCGCCCGGCACCGGCGCCCCCTGCAGCCGGCGGCCGCCCCGGGCCGCTCCCGGTCGGCAGGGGCGCAGGAGGCCGGGCTCGTCCGCCCAGCTCCGCCCGCCGGCGGGTGGCCGTGCCCCGGTCGCTAGGAGCGAGCGGGGGCGGGCGGCGAGGCTCGCGGCCGCTGCCTGTGGGAGGGGGCGGCGGAAGATGGCGGCCGGGCGGGCGGCCCCGCTCCGCTCCGCCAGAGCCGCGGCCGCCACCGCCCCCGTCCCGCCCCCCCGCACCGCCTCTTTCCCCACCCTCCCGCGCCGCCTCCTCCTCCTCCTCCTCCCCGGGGAGGGGAGCGGCAGCGGCTGCCCTGGCTGAGCCGGGCTCGTGTGCTTTCTCTCGGTAGGAGTCCGGGAAGATGGCCGGGGCCGAGTCGGGGATGAGCGGCGTCGGGATCCCGCTGCAGCCCCAGCCCCAAGCCCCGGCGGCGGCGGCGGCGCCGGCGGACGAGTCGTCGGACAGCGAAGGGGAGCACGAGGGCCCCCAGAAACTCATCCGGAAAGTGTCCACCTCGGGCCAGATCCGCAGCAAGGTAAGGCGGGCAGCAGCCGGCCAGCCCCGCCGCCTTCACGGCCGGTTCCTCCATCCCCATCCCCAAGCGGGGCTAACCCGGAGCTGGGGACGGCCGCTGCATCCCGCCCGCATCCCCGGGAGCGGCGGCGGGGGGCTGGGGGGGGAGGTTTGTGAGACAACCGTGCCTCTTCCTTCCTTTCCTCTCCCCTCCTCCCCGTCCAGCTGTTGCGTCCACATCTGTCCCCGGCTGGCAGGAAGAGCCCCCCGGGGCTGCGGCGCTCCGCTTGGCCGGAGGGGAAGCTGCCTGCCCCGGCAGCCGCCCTGCCCTGCCGGGCGTCCTGGGTGTGGGGGAAGCGGCGGGCTGCCTCCCTCCCTCCCTCCCTCCTTCCCTCCGGCTCCTCTTCCTCGGCGGCGGGCACCGCTGCCGCGGGGATCCCGCCCTGCCACCCTGCGGCGCGGGTGGGCTGGCTCAGCGAGCCCTTCCTCGCCACTTTCCATACCCGCCGCCCGCCCGTTTTAGCTCTCCGCCGGTCCCGGGGACCGCTGCCGTGCGCCCCGCCAGAGCGGCAGGCACCGAGCCCGCGGTGGCACGTCGGGCTCCTCTTCGGGAGTGCCGCCAAGGAGGGAAAGGCGGCTTCCACTTTGAAAGGGCACCTCGCGGAAAGAGGAGTAAACTTCTATACATCCTCGCTCGTGGCACTGGATGCGTAAAGCAGCTGTCAAAATTTTAGGTTAATGCAGTTGTTTTGGCTGTCTCGGGCTGCCGAAGTTGTCCCGGTGGAATTAACTTTTTTCATGGATGGTGTGTTTGTTTAGTTTTTCCCCCCCTTGTAAAATCAACAAGCAGGCATTTGAAAGCATAAACATAATGAAACAGACTTGCTGTGTAGAACTTTCTACAAAGTGTGGTCCACAGTAAGTGATGGGGTCTGCACAAACCCACCTTGGGGAGAGCTTATTCATGCAGTGACAAGAAGATCAGGGCTTTTCTTGGAAGAGTCTATTTTGAGGGGCAAAGTGACTCCATGCAGGCCTGAACTGATCACACTTAGGGTTTGATTTCTACACAATAGGTCATGTGGTGTTGTTTCCTGTACAGAGCACCCATTAAAGTTAGTAGTTAGTGAAGTCCTGTCTGGTTGGTGCTTTCTTCCCTTGGGCTTTTGCTCCATGCACTACGTGCAAAAGGCAGCCACCTTTAAACCGTGATTGTTAAACAGTAATGTTACTCTGTTATGTGAGGTGGAAAGCATTTTTTTCCTGGAATCTTCTAAACAAGATGTGTCATTCCATTTTGTTGCTAAATGTTAATTTTGCATTTACAGATGTTAGGCCTGGCTGAAAGGTTACTATAGTAAATAATATACAACTGTTGCATTGTGTTGGAAACGCAGTTCTACACAAGCTTTCAGCTTTAACACCCTTTTGTGTCTTCAGGACGTTTTAAAAGAGCACGATGCCTTTATTAGCTGTAGTGGTATTAAGTGCATTTGAGCGTTTGCTCTCAAAGAGGTTGATACTTGCATAAGGAAAACGTGCTTATTATGAATGTTATCGATACAGGTTGGTGAGATTGAGGTCCCAGCCAATTCTTGCCAACTGTTACAGATGGGTGGGATATTCTGTGTCTGAAGGTTGTGAATGAATGCTGAGCTGGGATCGCCTGAAGATCTAAGACAGCTCTGCAAGTCTTGCTTTGCTTATCTTAGCTTGAGTCCCAGTTCTATTTCTGTGAATCAGATATATATAGGAAAAACTGACTGCTGACATAATTGGAGTTAAAATGTTGCTTTACTGGTTGCAACTTACAATAATATGCAACTCCACATATAAACATCTTCCTTTCAATTTAATTAAAAGTGATATATCATTGTTAAAGATGAGACCCATGTTAAATAATTCAGTAGCACTTTATTTTATAACTCACAATGCATTATTTAAAAGTAGCTATATTTAGACAGACAACTCCCATTTAGTTTAAGGGTGTTGTATGTTTGCTGTTGTAGTAGTTGGTGATCAGTGGTTACATGAAACCACTAGAGCAAGGAACATCAGGGAGCTGCTCTTTTACCCAGCTAGTCCCTTTCATTCAAATTAGATTTGTTAAGCTTCACTTACTTGGTGGATGTGTTTGTAAGCTAAGGTTTTAATTAAATGGATTGGGTTTGTCTTACATCTAAGAATAGACTTTTGAAAGAACCCAAAGCATGTATATTACATTTATCATTGATGCTTGTGGGCCATTTAGGACTGTGCTATTTTTCTCCAGAGGTTGCTTATTTACTTACTTGAAGCATTTCAGCGACATGGTATCAATTCCTTAGCTCAGAACTATACCCAAAAGTCTCCGCTGGTAATTGTTTTTGTTTTACTTAAGGAAGATGTTATTTTTAGATGTTTTGGTACAGTTGATCATTTGTGAAAGCTACCATATGGTGATACTTTGCAGACAGAATCACTCAGGAGTGGATTTTTTTTAATGTGTGTTTAACAAGATTTAGGAAATATACGTACAAGAACAAACCCCTTTCACTAGCACAAACAGAAGCCTAAAAACTTCTAACATCTGTAGTTCTCAAAGGCAGTTTTTACTCTTTGCTCTTTTCTTCCTAAATAAAACCAATTAATTATTTAACTGAGGGCAGGGGGTGAATAAGAGAGTGAGAAGATTAAAAGCAAGAGTAATGTATTGGCAGATGTAATTACACCAAAGTTTATTGCTTGTTTGTGATATGCTAATGATTGATTCACAGTTCTATTTAGAAGACTGTTGTCCAGTTTTGCCATAGCTTACCCTCACTGGATAGCAACTTCCTTGGCAAGCTGTTAGCTTGATTTCAGTGGAACTACTTTTACAGTCAGTTGCTAAGAAAAACAAATTGGTTTTGTAACTTCTGTTACAGGTGCAATTTTTGTTTATGCATATATATCTCTTAAAGTTTTACAATACTTTAAAGCATATCTGTGTCAAAATGTGGCCATTATTAATTACCCCAAACAGAAAACTTGAAGATCAACATGTGTTTGTGTCTGCCAACTTGAGGAGGAGGGAACAAGTAGTGGTGTAAAGGACTAAAGGACTATTCTTTAGGCCAACACGTTGTTTGTCACTGATTGCTAAAGCCCCATACTTGGCTGTAGAGTTACACTGTAGCAGTAGGTACCTTTAGGGAAATCAGGACCAAAACTGATTAGGACTTCTGTGAGATTAAAGCCAGTGTCTTTTAATGTCATCCTGGAAGCTTTTGCATCTGTGGAGTTTGTATGTGTTCCATGGAGGAAACACTAGTCAATAAATAGGTGACAAGTACCTTGAGAAGTTTGAGCACTTTTGAGCCAAAATCCCTAATGGAAACAGCTTTTGGTTTTGTAATGTCTATTTATCCTTCTCCCCCATTTTGAATGACCTGAATATTTAGCTCATAAAACATGTCTTGGTAAAAAAAACCAACAAAACCAATGAACATTTTAAGAATATACATTTTGGATTTTTGATAACTTTGGAAAAGTGTAGTCAGACAGTTTGGAAGTAGTATATATGATGATGCTGGGTTACAAGCAGGGTTACATTGGAGATTGAAGTAATGGAAAGTTCTCCATGTGTGTGTTAAATTTGGCTTCTTCATTTTTAAGATGTTGGTTAAGACAGGCAGAGTCAGTGCCTTCCTTAAACAGATGACTTCAGTTCTTGGGGCTACAGCCTGAAAACTGCCTGTCATCAGCTGGCTTCTAGTTGCTTTAAAGCTAATTGCTGTAGTGCAAAGCACATTCCTTAAAAAGATGGCCTTTCTTCTGTTCTTTATAGCAGAAATGTGTCGAGAAGGGGAAGTTCAAATTAGAGCTCACACTTTTTCTCTTTGAATTCTCCTCACCTTGAGGATCAGCAGAAGATTAATAAATGAAAAGATCCCTGGATACTTGGAAGTATAGTTGTTAGATGAGAACAGTTACAGCTACCACTCTTGTCTTGAGTACTCTATAAAAAACTGCATATGAGGAGTAGCACTTTTATCACTGACCTAGCTTTCTATTTTAATGGCTCCACATCCAGTTAATGCAAAACCTCTGTTGGATATGTGGTTTGCTCTCAAATCTGCATTAAGTTTCTGGCCTGTGTTTATTTTTGCATGAAGCAGACATTCTGGAGCAGAAAGTACAATTCAGGAAATGCAAGAAAATGTGGTGTATTGAGTAAGATAAATACACTTGTAAGGTATGTGGGATAAAGCTTTCTTCCTCTCCTTCACCCCCAGTGGTTTTTGTTAGTAATGAAATTGCTGTAACATGGCAGATACTGTGAAGCAAGACTGTGTTATAATTAGTGGAGATAGTACAGTGTTGTTTAGTTAAATGGCAAGAGTTGTTACTTGAATTTTCTTATCTGAGTTATTAACATATATTTTTTTTGAGATCTTAAATCATTATGGAGTAATAAAAGTAAATTAATTAAATTCCCCAACGTGGTTTTATTTGCCTTCACACCATCCATTTAGGAACTGAGCCTTCAAAAAGTTTCTAACCTTTTCCATATGGTGACATTTGACAGTGCCAAGTCCCAGCAGTCACTTCCTGTTTGTTTCTGGTATACATTTATCTCAGTTTACCCTAGCTTGTTAATTCACCTAAATATAAAGTGCTGTGAGTGATACCAGTGTTCAAATGCACAAGCATCATTCTTTGCAATGTGATCTGTTTTTCCTTGTTGTAATGGTTCCCAATTTACTCAACTAAGTAGTGGTTCATTCCTTTCTGGTTAAGGAAACACGATTTTTTTAATGCACCAGAAATTCTCAGGAAAATGCCATGGTAGCAAAGTTTACCCCAGTGGAGATCCTTTATATACATTAGGATTGTGTGACTCTGCACAGCTTCAAAATGCACTGTAGTTTGTAATGTACTCTGCAACTGCAGTGATATGAATAGTGTCACTAGCGAGGAAGTGCACAGCTATCGTCCTCAAGTTCTTGGCACCTGGTAGTGTTCACAGAACAGACTGAAGGGTGCTACAGGATATCTGTC